ATCAGATTATTCAATACGATTTGTTAAAGGCTCAGGGCAATCTCGATGACACAGGTCAATGTCCCCCCCCCCCTGTGAGCCAGCCGCGAGCATGGTCGCCGCGTCTTTATTACGTCATCACAACAACACGTTAGGTTACCAACGTAAGCCTGTTCTGACATTCGGTGATATTTTTTCGGTGCTAAAACCCTTTCGGCCGAAAGCCGAAAGGGCCTTTTTAACCATTTTCGGCCGATAATTTTCGGTGGCCGAATATTCGGTGCATCCCTAATATATATATATATATATATATATATATATATATATATATATATATATATATATATATATATATAATAAAAGTATTGAGTATTTCTACACTCTGGTACTTGTACCTTTACTCAAGTACAGTACAAGATCTTATCACTTCTTACACCTCTGGAAAGCACTTTTATGTAAAGGAATACATTTTTATAAATGTCCCAACATTTCATTTTTATATTTTACAAACGTTTATATGTTATTAATGTCAAATGTTATATGTTGTATTATATAACAAAATAGACATTAAATAAAATATTAAATAGATACCTTTACATCCTAAACAGAAGGTCAACACGTTAATATGTTACATGACAAACAAAAAAACGAAACATTATATAGGCTATATATACAGATGTTTGCTAATGTATCCCTCTTATATCCATCAGGAATTAATATTAAATGATGAATTAACATTACCTCAGCACTGCATAAGTGTGGTCGTCAGTCATATTGACAAAGAAGCACTATTTTATTATTATAATTATAATTATGGGCGTTTAAAAGGACGGTATTTCGCTTGTCAGATTCATATTTGCCGCCCATAGAGATGTAACGCCAGGTTGCTATAACAGCCGAAGAAGAAGGCTATGACGCTATCGCGTAGAGCTACGTTCTTGCGTAATGCGGAAGCAAAATCTAAACTGGATTGGAATAACGATAGACGCAGTCCGGTCAGCTCGCTAAACAGAGGGCGGAGCATCAGGTGATCATGCAGTGCTACGTGTCTCAGTCAGACTCAGCAGCTGATCTGATCTCTCTCTTGCGTCCGGTTATACTTCACTCGCGTTTATGTCCATATCGATCAGATCCAGCTCTCCTGATCGGCCTTTATAGAGAGCGCCGAGCAAACTATTAAGAGTGAATATCGGCCGATAATGACCGACGGGGCTCCCCCCGTTAACAGGTCACTGTCTAGCACTGGCTTCGTAGTGCACTGATCGATTAGGCTAAGCTAACCTGTAGCTGCTCCCTCCACACCCACAACAACTTCATACAGACATAAATAAAGCAGCTGTATTCGCCACACAGGAAACACACATTTAAAACGGTGTTGCCTGCCGTTTTTGTTTACACAAGCATTCATCAATGGTTTGGAAAGTGGCGCTGTACCTTAATAATATAAAGGCTTGTATTTGCGTGCATTTCCTGTTCGGAAAGTGGCGCTGTACTGAGAGTGGAGGTGTCCTGAGATTAGCGCCTGCAGGCAGGGTCCCTGGAGCTGTCTGCTCCGGACTGCGCAAAATGCGTACATGAAGCGCTACGTCATGAACGCAATAAATCTACCTTCGTTAGACATCTGATTGGCTATAGATAGAAATAATTACAAGTACGAATCGGCTGACCGTCAGGGGAGTCTCAAAAAACCCACACACGAATGCAAAGCGATCCGTGCACAGAAAGCGGTTTGTGTTTGCAGGTTCAGAGGTTTTAAACGGAAAACAAATATGTGTGGATCAAAAATACACATGTAAAACTTTTTTCTGTATTTGGATTTTATTTACATGTATATGAAACGGAACACATTTGTGTGTGCATTGAAAAACACAAGTGTGGATCCGGAAATACAAGTGTGAATCCTTTTGCGGATCATGAAATACAAGTGTGAATCCTTCTGTGCGCATGTGTGTATTATGAGACTGTTCTGAGCCCATACGGAAGAAGAGTACGTTATTTTTACCTGTAATACACTACTGTGTTTGATGAAAAATCAAATCATGGTTTGCTATATGAATGATATGTTATAGGAGCAAATAATTCAGGGAAGAAAGGCTACTAAGTATTTCCATCAAACTTTATTTTTAGATATGTACAAAATGAATGTAAATATACATATATACACTGTATATCATCCATTCCTCCCCTTATAGACGTTTTCGGAATCTTGCCTATCGCAGCTTTGTAAGCTGGTGCTGGAGCTTTTTAGGACGAGGCATCAGAGTGGTCATCCCGTCATGTGTTGTCCGCCAGATACCAGGAGTTTCCTGATCTGGCTGGACGAAATCAAATGCAAAATCACAAAATATTAGAGAAACGTAGTTGTTTTAGGTTCGTTAGCTTGCCAGCTAGATTAATATGCTAACCTACATTTGCTTGTTCAGTGTAATATGCCAACCTACTATGAACAACAGCTAGTCTAGGCTAGCAAGAACATGTTTACAATTGCAATCTTATACGGGTAGTCTGCTACGTTCGGTCATTCATTGTAGCTGGCATAAAAACAATGTTTTCCCTTCTTGTTTAGCTCGGTAGCATACACGCTAGGAACGGTAGCTCGGTAGCATACACGCTAGGAACGGTAGCTCGGTAGCATACACGCTAGGAACGGTAGCTCGGTAGCATACACGCTAGGAACGCCAACTATAATGTAGCGACTGACCATACGGTAAATCACCCGGAGTATACTGTCTGAGTATTTCGTGTGTGAATGCAGACATTCTCCTGCTATGAGATACATGTAAGGCCATCTGCAGCTGACCTGACATTGGAGTTGATATATGGAAACGCTAGCAACTTAGTTAGCCCAGTTAGCACTGTGTCAATGGCTTAGCAGCCCGAAAAACGTTTACCCATTTAAACAGTCGTGGTAGATACCTTGTTTGTTTTAAACATCATAAATACACAAACAACAATGGATACTTACAGGTTGTGTACTGAATCTCCCGCTGGTCCAAACAAAGTAGGAACAGCATCGTCCTTCAGTGTCCTACGCTGTGCATAATATCCGGCATGAATCGCTGCAATGTTTGCGAAGCTTTGGTCCGTGAAATGCCGCGCACACAGTACAGGCTCGAACATCTGAAGGAACAGTGTTAACAAGAAATGTCAACCACTGACTTCGTCGTGGTTCTGCCCTCGGTAAGGCATACATTTAAGATTTCCCCTCACAAGACAGGAAACAGACCCTCGTTGGCATGACTGGATACAGTTTTGAACTGAACTTGAGCTTCCAACAGTATGTTCGGCTGGCAGAGGGTGCGGCCATAGCTCTGGGCGTGGCTACTGGGTATTCCTACGTCACGATACCCAGGAAGAAAACATTGGAAAATGAGAAATCTCCAACGAGGCGTTTTGGGGAGGTCTTTTCTGTGTTAGAGTTTTACTCACTACAGGGTGTACTTTGAGGGTTTGTGACTCTGCAGACCGTTTACATGCATAAAAACCTTCATAACACACAAGGGGACGGGTAATAACCGGAAAAGCATGAAATGGGACATTTAAAGATTCGAAGAACTATAGTGGAATGCTGTAAACAGCATTCACACTAATAACTAATTTTCGCTGTTTTTATTATGAAAAACAACAGCGATTTAATTATTCTAAAGGGCATTTAAAGGGTTAAAATCCTGAAAATTATTACTTTTTTTATTAGAGCTGAAGTTGCTTTAAAGATTGAACCCAAAAAAGCGGTGAAAAAACATTTTAATATAATGTTTTTATCAACGTTTTTGCCAGTGGAAATTTGTCCCGAATGACTAATTAGGGTAGTCCAATCGAATGATACCGGAGGGCTAAGCACTTTCATTAATATTGTTTGTAAACATAATGAGGTCAAAACAATATGTGAAAGGAAAATGAATAAGCAGCTAGGAAGCTAGGCTGCAGTGCTTATAGAATCATAAAGCTCTCAGCGATGTGTCTTTATGCAACTATTGAAGCTCCTTTATTAGCATTTTGAAAATACAAACATCTCTTCTGGTGGCGGTCACTCCCGGGTCATTTCACTCCGTTATGAAACCTCCTTCGCAAAAAGGGGTGTTGGACCTCAGCCTAGGTTTCATACTTCAGTGTCGTACTTCTTGCAGCAACATCTGTAAAGATTCATCACATAGAAAAAAACCAAGATGGCAGCAGCCCCTTTGAAGATGTCATGTTCCTTATGTTTGGACTGTTATTCCATTCAAACATTACAATGTTATATATTCCTTAAACTGTAGGTGTATTCAGTATATGATCACTGATGTGTCTGCCAGCTGTGTGGCATCTGTAATCCTCTAAACATGAGAGCATGCTGGCTGTGTTTCAACCTGCCAGAGGCTGCTCACACCCTGAAACTGCATCTTTATTTGAAGGCAAACTTTAAGCACACAGTTGGACTCTAACTCAATCTCATTTATTGCTGTGATGAAAACTTCACTCAACTTGTGTTTTTTAATTTAGAATAATGTTTGGGATACAAACGTTGTTTTCCCCTCACAACATAAGGGCAAGGTAAGACCTTATTTTCACAGAACCTTCCCTCATCCTACCTTAAGGAAACATGCAGGTAAAAAAAACCAATAAGCTTATAACTGTTATTGTTATTCATTGAAGATAATGAATGCTTAAGGCTAACCTGGCTTTGTCACTTTACTCAATGAGAGAGAAATGTCCCCTTGAGGCTAAACTTGTATGTTGCTCTGAAGAGTACTTTGTAATGTTGAATCTACTATAAGGGCATCAAGGGGCCTCTGTGCTTGGTTTCATATTTTTCAAACCTGGGGAACCTGGGTGAGGCCCGCAAAATCTATATTTAACTTGATTTCCCTCATAATTGTTGTTCTTTCATTGGTGAGGGTTAATTTGTGCTTGGTACAACTCAAATACATCGAGGTGAAAGAGAGTACATTGCAGATTGACAAATAAAAGATCTTAGCAGGGGCCGAGCCAGCTTCATTATGCCCCCCCTCGGTGAGATGATGTTGTGTACATGTCTGCAGGTATGGAAGCCAAGGTGGGAAGCTCCCCCTTCCTGAAGTTTGCCACCCAGTTCCCTCTGATCCTCTGGCACCCGTACGCCCGGAGCCAGTCCTTCTGTGTGGTGACGGAGGCGGAGCAGAGGAAGTGGCAAGCCGTGCTCCAGGACTGCGTCAGACACACTAATGATGGTGAGTCCTGCCGGCTAAACATCAACACGCATTCCTGCAGACACACATGGTTATGAATACGTATTACCCTTTTAGTATCTTTACAAATGCTCCAAATGAGTCTTCATCTTGGATGCACCCTGACACATCAGCAGGCTAGAAGGAGGATACATGTGAACGGAGTTCTGTGATCTCGTCTGCAGCTGCAGGGCTGCCAGCTCAAACAAACAGCATGTGCACTTTTAAGAAATGCATGTACCAACATTTGTTTCCTTCACCAGGACCTTTTAACTGAAACATTTGTTTCGATTGTCTTTTTTGTCCTTCTCTGCTCCCGTGGCCTCCGGCAGATGCCATATTTGTTTTTGTTTAGTTTGGAGTGAGATAGTGACATCAATCTGAAGAGGACCCCTTTTTAAAATATAGCAAAGCAATGACTAAAGGAAATGATGAATTTTGCAATTTTAAATTGAGCTGACTTCCCCTTCATTAATTCTTAAACTGAACATTGAGACTATATGTTTGATTTGGATGTACATCTTGGTTTTCACATCAGTCGATATTAACAGTCATGTGACACTAGTTAAGAAACACATTGTTAAAAATATGAATGAGTTGTTAGCTCAACAGAAGTAACAAGTGTATCTATCATCCTTAGAAACCAGACCATAAGGGGCAGCATGGTTAGCCTGCTGTGGAACATGTGTTTCTTCAGGTTGTGTTACTGCACCCCCCCCTGCTCACTAAAACTGAGCGCCATCACAGTCCCCCTTTAACCAGTTTAGTGCTCTGGCACTTGGAAAGGAGACACAGCTGAATGACTTCATATGTTCTCCGTGAGACCTGACTTTAACAGCTCCGTTAAACAAGGTGTGAGTCAACCAACCTCACACCAGGTCCACTAGTCCCACAATTCTGAATGTTGTCCTCTGGGTTGTAAGATAAAAGAAGAAACTAGCTACTTCTGGTTTGTTTGAAAGCGGCTCATACCATTTAAGGCTACATCTAAATACTAACCCGCTTTTCGAGAGGGTCCTCACAATTTCTGTCTCTGCATCTACTAGGAAATCTGGCCCCCCCAGTCCCGCCCCCGCACATACTTCCTGGCTTTGTCATAGTCTGGAGTTCTCACACACTGTCCAATCTGGCTGAACACAATTTCAGCTTTAGCATGTATTCTTTCCCCAAGCACTCATTGTTAACATGCTTTTTCCTGATTTGTATTATTCTTTGTTTGCCAGAAAACCTTTAGAATCTGGCAAAGTTAAACTTGAACCCCCTTTGTATCATAGAAGCAATAGGCTTTTTCACAACCTAAATACGGAATTCTTATAGCTGAAAAATGTGTTATCAATAATCTTGAGGCCCCATTCTGCTTTCCTGTAGTGTGTTCTATAGGTTTTTGTGGTCTGCAAAGACTTAAATCCCCCCCCCCTCCTGCCTTTCGCTTTGATTGCAGTCCTTTGTTAATTTCGAGAACATGGTGACATCACTATGTAACACTTGCGCTCCTACTGGCTACTGCTCCAACACATTGTACATACTACATAGGCTAAGGGGCGGGACATCTCTAAGCGGTTGACCCATCATAGCAGAAAAATAAAGAGCTTTTTGAACATTAGAGCATGGCGACATGTCCCAGGAGAGACGTTAATATGAAGCTGAACATTTCAATAACGGGGCCTCTTTAACAACGGCTCAGTTTTATCTCAAGTTAACCATGATTCAGTGAAGCAGCTTTATAGAATTTAAAATTGTAACTTATGTTTTTCCTAATTGACACATCAGCATGTTATCGGCTTGTGCCAACAAATCATTGATTTTCATATTCAGAAGTTTCTTAATTTAAGCAAGAAACGTTCCTCCACATGTCCAAATGGATTGTGTGCTCAAATGCTAACCGCTACTCGTATTCCCATGGCAGGTTTGAAGGAGGACAATAAAGTACAAACTCCAGCCTTCACTGATGCAGTACGACTCTATCGCCAAGCTCAAGGGCACTATGGCACTTGGGAGATGATGTGTGGTGTACCATCACAGGTAAGCATGGCAGTACAGTACATCATCTACACTGTCCTCTGTCTCTGGATCTGCCCTGAACTTTTAAGTCGGAATGACCCAATACAGTTCCAAAATATACCTGGCCTGGTTCCTCTTTTTTTTTAGTGGGTGGTAAAAAAAAAAACAGGTTAAATGTAAACCTGGGTCTTCCATTAATCCTGCCTGATTTCAGAATCAGTATATGGTTTATTGCCATGTAGGATTTCATCTTAAAGGGGGGCTAAAAGTACAGCAATTTCAAGAAATATAAATATATAACCATAACAATACAAATGTAAAAAATATATTTAAGAAAAAAGTACTAAAACAAATATGTACAAAATAAGGGTAAAATATTACAATATATAAAAGTTAACTATTCAATATCTACAATCCTTTTTTCTTTTTTTTTAAATGTGTCCCGCTAACCTGGTTTCCTGTGTTCAAGAGCATCTGGTGCTTTGTGACCCCTGAAAGGTCATCCAGGCCTCTGCTTCTATTCCTCTGCCTCAAATCCACAATCACATCACGTGATCATGTGACATGATTTATAGGGGTTATAGACATAAGAACATGTCTTACTTTAATGCCCGATGTATGATATTGGTTAAGCATTTATTTATTTTTACCAGCACATTATTATATCGAGTGTCTATTTTGACATCAGTGTGATTTGAAAGATGTCAGTTTCAACCACACACAAAAATCAAAAGAATTGCCATCTCTTATGACGCACACCTGCACACTTGCTAGCCAGTTCCATTCTTGGTTTTCCGAGGCTAGGAGGTATTCTTGCCTCGCTTCTTAAGGAACTCACTCGGAGGTACATGTGCTACCAAGCAAGCCTCCTCGACATTGAGAAACACCCCTGTACTCTCTCCAGTACAGGTTAGCTCTTGCTGTTAGCAATGCTTGCTAATGTAAACAGAGACCATATACATCCAAAACACGTCGGGCATTGATTCTGATAGCGATGTTTCTGATAGTGCCGTGGGTCCACGTCATATCAGATGGCAAATCTGGATCAGCTCCGTTGTACCCCCGTTTTTAGAGATTTGCGCACGGAGAAAAAGAGAGGGTTTTATTTTCTGACACTTTGTGAGTTCCCTGGGGACACCGGGGACACATCTTTATGTATACAGGACATCAAAGTGCATTTTGCATGATAGGTCCCCTTTAAATATCATCTGGACTCTCTTTGCATCCAGAAGTTGTAAATGAAGAGGAGTCTGAGAAGTGAGCTCAGCAGACTTCTGGAGCCCGCTGATAATCTCAAGGAGAGCAGATTAGGATTTAATTAGCCAACGGGAGGATAACGCACTGTTTGCAGTTGCATCGTGGGTAATGTATTAGTTTGACAAGGAAACACAATGCATGGAATATCACATAAAAACAACATTAATGACACCACCATCCATGACAGCACAAACCCACATATAACATGAACATCATAAAAACATAAGGAACAAGGAACATCAGGTCCAAGTTTAATGAGGTGCCAAATTCTGACAAATGACATGCGATCCAAACTCATTTAGTTGTGGCAGCATTTGTCCATCCTTTTGTAATACATAAATCTTATTCCATGCATTTAGTTATTTTGAAACATTAGGTTATGTTTTTTGATGACGATGATTTGAAGCACATTTTAATGGGGCTGGACATGGTCCTAAGCACAGAAACAAAAGTATTTGTTGTCCTGTAAACACAACAAATCTGAGTTTTTAAAGCTAAATCTCAATGTGCAGAGTGCAGAGAAGCATTATCTCTGTGATGAGTGAGATAGGACTAAGGCCCGGAAACAACCAGAGATAACTTCAATGACCCATGACGCTCTAGCTGAGTCTGAGTATAGCTGAATGACTTCATATGTTCTCTGTGAGACCTGACTTTAACAGCTCTGTTAAACAAGGTGTGAGTCAACCAACCGCCACCAGGTCCACACAGAGGCTTCTGTCAGAACACTGTGGGGTTACGGAAGGCCCGGTTCACCTGAAGAGTTGTGGGCCTCTATTGAGTCCTGATAACCATTTTCTATATCCTTACATTTGACACTTTATCCAGTCCAACATGTGTATGTGGTTAGTGAGGTGACTATGATTGTGTGTCTTGTAGATCCTGGCTAACCTGGTGATGGAGGGCCTCCTCCCGGAGTTGAGGGAGCTCATCTCCCCCCGCCTCAAAGGCAAGCTACACGAGAGGCAGAGAAACTGGATGCTGGTGAGAGACTACTACATACACATTGTGTGGAGAAAACATGTCTAGTTGTACGCAGTTGTATACATCGCTGACATTTTGAGCAAATGGATCATAGGAAACATCATGGGTCTTACCCACCAGTGATGGAAACAGCCAGTCTATGCCTGTATGATAATGTCCAGCTCATATCAGAAAAAAGTAGTGCAGAAGAGCATGTGTGATTGTTACGTTCCCTGCTGGACTAGTGGTACCAAAGGGAAGTAACAAAATATAAAATAACTGGGAGAGAGGAAAAAGGAAAGGAAAACTGTGACTAAAAAAAAAAAAGTGACTAAAGTACAACAATACACAAAGATACACTGGAGGGAGACAATCAGAGGGAGAGAGACACAAACACAACACAACACAACACGGCACGTAACAGTGATTCACACAGACTGAGCAACTGAAGGACCAGGATGTTCTGTTCCCAACATGTGGTTCCTGTATGTGTGTAGATCAGTGATGCAGTGTACAGCCTGGTGCAGGGGCAGTGCCAGGCCCAGTATCAGGCGGTGGTGCAGAAGTGTGAGGCAGCCTGCTCCTCTCTGGAGGCGTCCATACGGTGCGACATGGACCAGATCATCTCCTCCAAGGAGCACGTCAGCAACAAGATCAGAGGTCAGCCTTCTCTCCATGAAATCCTTTTCAGACTTCTCTTCTTTAATCCCTGTTTTTATGCATTCCAAGGCCTGTTTGTGATGCTCTGACTGATAAATGAAATGAATTTAGTCTTACCCCCCTAGAGCAGTGACCATCAACTTATTTATTTTTTTACAACGTCTCGTGAGTAATGTGCAGTACCGGAGTCCAACAGAGAGGCAGCAGCTGCGGGACAGTAGACTGCGTACTGCGTAGCCTTCCCTGCCTTGAAGAAGAAGTGATCCTTCGTTTGTGAAGAGCCGCCCCGCTTCGACAGAGTCCAACAGAGAGGCAGGAGCTCTGGACAGTAGCCTAGAAGTGATCCTTTGTTAGCGTGAAGAGTCTGCTAAGCTGTATGCGCTCCGCAGTACATGAGCGTGCTCCACAGTACCTGAGCGTGCTCCACAGTACCTGAGCGTGCTCCACAGTACCTGAGCGTGCTCCACAGTACCTGAGCGTGCTCCACTAGCCTGCTTTAAGCCATTTAATCTGCCGTTGGTTTGAGTGGCATGTTTTTGCTCAAAAGTCAACACAACGATCCCATTTATCCCAGCCAGTGAATGACAAACGGAAATAATCTTTGGACTTTCAAATGTCCGACTGACTGTGTGGGGTTCAGAGTCCTTCAAAAATAAATAGAGAAACACGGACCAGATCTCTCTTCCTCTCACATTCCTCATCCCCCCACAGAGGTGGTCCTCCCAAAGGCTGAGAAGCTGCTGAAGGTGAGCATCCAGCCATACATCAGCTCCATCCTGGACGCCCTGATGGAGCCCACCAGCCGAGGTTTCTCTGAGGTCCGCGATGTGTTCTTCAGAGAGCTGGTGGACATGAGCAAGAACTCTCTGAACAACGGCACCAAGGAGGCCGTGGCACAGGTGAGGAGAGAGAGAAACGGGTTTATTAAAGCATCAAACTCTGAAATACAAACGATGTATGTCCATTATGGTTTGTGAAACAGATGTATTAATGAATTCAAATGTAAAATAATACTCTGCCCCCCCTTCCTCTCCTTAAGCACATGGAGAAGATCTCCATGCTAGCCTTCCACCCGGTGAAGATGCAGAGCTGCTATGAGAAGGTGGAGCCGCTTAGTCTGGAGGGTCTGCAGCAGAGGTTTGACGTGTCCAGCCCCTCAGTGTTTGTCCAGAGGGCCCAGATCCTCATGAGAGAGGTGACACCCTGGCACTGCACTTACCCATGTTGCTTTCAGGGATGTCACAAGAACATTAGTTGTTTATAAAACTGCACTTTTATATATGGACAAAGCAAGTTCGACCAGACAACGGCCCTTATTTATTTACTAACATTTCTTACATTCAAAAGTCATGAATCCTTAATTCGCCCCACAGCAGGGAAATGTACATATATTGCATATAGATGTTGTGACAGTGTTTGGTTAAGTTACAGTTTGAGGCGACGACAGTTGTTATTTCTATAATTGAAACGTTTTTGTCAGCTTTCCCAAGAGTTTCATTGCAAAATATGCCTTGTTATCATTATAATTCTATTGAAATGTGCATGAATGTATGTCAGGAGCTGTCCTTAGGCCATTTTTGAAGCGGTGTCTCCACTGTTTAGTCGGTATTAAGACAATTAAGATTTTCTGGCTGGAAGTCTTACCTCTGGTTAATTTCAAGTAAACCAGCCACAATCATTATTCACTGCCAAAGACATCTAATCATAAGACCTTATGCACACTGTTAATACAAAGTATTTTAATTTATTAGATGTTGTTCTTTCAGTGCTTAGAAAACTAAATTCCATTTACCTTCATTGTGTTGATGTCAGTCCACAATTTGGAGTTGTAGGTATCTAACAAACCATTTACCATTTCAACTAGCCCTTTTTTATACACTGCTCAAAACAAATAAAGGAACACTTTTCAGAGTATAGCATTAAGTCAATTAAACTTCTGGGATTTTGATCTGGTCAGTTAAGTAGCAGAGAGGTTGTTAATCCATTTCAGCTGCTTTGGTGAGGGGCAACAATGACCCCTAAAACAGGAATGCTTTTCCAGGTGGAGGCCACTGACCTTTTCCCCTCATCTTTTCTGACTGTTTCACTATTTTTGCATTTGGCTAGGGTCAGTGTCACTGCTGCTAGCATGAGGCGATACCTGGACCCTCCAGAGGTTGCACAGGCAGTCAACTCCTCCAGGATGGAACATCAATACGTGCCATTGCCAGAAGGTTTGCTGCGTCTCCCAGCACAGTGTCAAGAGCATGGAGGAGATTCCAGGAGACAGGCAGGTACTCTAGGAGAGCTGGACAGTGACGTAGAAGGTCCTTAAACCATCAGCAGGACCAGTATCTGCTCCTTTGTGCAAGGAGGAACAGGATGAGCACTGCCAGAGCCCTACAAAATGACCTCAAGCAGGCCACTGGTGAGAATGTCTCTAACCAAACCATCAAACACACTTCATGGGGCCCGACGTCCTCTAGTGGTCCCTGTACTCACTGCCCGGCACTATGGAGCTCGATTGGTATTTGCCATAGAACACCAGAATTGTCAGGTCGGCCACTGGCGTCCTGTGAGTCCAGGGTTCCTCCTGGTGCACGACAGTGCCCGGCCTCATGTTGCGAGAGTATGCAGGAAGTTTCTGGAAGATGAAGGAATTGACACCATTGACTGGCCCCCACGCTCGCCTGACCTAAATCCCATAGAAACCTCTGGGACATTATGTTTCGGTCCATCTGCCGCCGCCAGGTTGCAGCTCAGACTGTCCAGGAGCTCAGTGATGCCCTGGTCCAGATCTGGGAGGAGATCCCTCAGGACACCATCCGTCGGCTCATTAGGAGCATGTTGTCAGGCACGCATACAAGCACGTGGGGGCAATACACAGTACTGAGTACCATTTTGAGTTGCTACAATTTCAGGAAAATAGACCAGCCTGCAGCATAATTTGTCCACTTAGATTTGCGGTGTGTCTTTGAATTCAGCCCTCTCTAGGTTGATCACTTTCATTTCCATCAAACGATGTGGCATACTTTCATTTCTTACACATTTCCCAGGCCACATCAGTATAGATATCCACCATGATTTATTTTCCTATTGAGATCGGATGTGTTTTCAAAGTGTTCCTTAAATGTTTTTGAGCAGTGTAATTAAGGGGATCCAACCCTTTGTCTTTTGTTCCTCGTGAAGATACAAATAAAATCAGGGTGCTGGGTGAATAGGATGACATATCAAAAAGATCACTTGATTCCTCAATACATGAGGTTTTCCACCTCGGAACAAAGCGGAATGACCTTGGTCTTGCATATCTCTTGAAGAACTCTGAAAAGGTAGTTTGTATGTGTATTGAAACACAGCTGCAACAAAACAGCAAATCTACCAATTTTACTCTGAAGCAAACGGGTGTGTGTGTGTGTGTGTGTGTGTGTGTGTGTGTGTGTGTGTGTGTGTGTGTGTGTGTGTGTGTGGTGTGTGTGTGTGGTGTGTGTGTGTGTGTGTGTGGTGTGTGTGTGTGTGTGTGTGTGTGTGTGTGTGTGTGTGTGTGTGTGTGTGTGTGTGTGTGTGTGTGTGTGTGTGTGTGTGTGTGTGTGTGTGTGTGTGTGTGTGTGTGTGTGTGTGTGTGTTGTGGTGTGTGTGTGTGTGTGTGTGTGTGTGTGTGTGTGTGTGTGTGTGTGTGTGTGTGTGTGTGTGTGTGTGTGTGTGTGTGTGTGTGTGTGTGTGTGTGTGTGTGTGTGTGTGTGTGTGTGTGTGTGTGTGTGTGTGTAGGCTCTTGTCTTATTGTTAGTGCCCCCAGTATTGAGTGTATGTAAGTCACTTTGGATAAAAGCGTCTAACCCCCATTCTGTCTCTGACCCTTTATATAGAACAGGCTCTGAAAGGGGCCTCAGTCTCAAGGAAGAGGTGCAGGGGATCTACACTCCCTCGGGGTCATTCATAGTTCAAGTGTTGTTTAAAACTGCAGTCAACCTTTAAGTTAGCCCCCCAAACCATACTGAGTTTTCAGGTTGAGGGTCTACAGAAAGATCTTAAAGCGGCAGCAGATGACTGTATGTTGCAATAAAGAGGTCCATGTTGATATGTCTTGCCAAAGAAAGTCGTAGTTATTCTTGAAGAATCACACACTGCCTCAGTGCGCAGAAGAGTTATTTAAATTCCCTTGCTCTTATTCTGATGCTAACAGATATTCTACCCACTGTGTGATGTAGATATTTTGAAGCTGCTCTGAGTCTATCTCTAGTTTATTTTGTTGAACATGCAGATGAGTGATTTTATCCTAAAAGCTGAACAGAAGAATTCCTTGTAGTGTGACATTTTATTCCAGTCAGTTTACCTCAAAGAAACAGAGGACCGATTCACTGAAGCGTTCTTCAGCTCCATGTTTGTGGGACGACCGAGGTTATGGTTGGGTTCGAATTGTCAGTTTAGCTTAGGAAAGTTATAGGAAATATGAACGTTAGTTTTTTACTCAAACGATCAAATAGTCAACATTTCATAGTGTTTACTGAGCTTCTTAAACCTTTTAAACATGTTTGAAAATACAATTGTATTTTATTTTAAAATATTTTCATACAATCATACGTATTGGGATTCATATGTGGACCGGATGGTGACAACAATAAGTTTCACTTCACTTTTGTATTTTAGAGTATTTTCTCTATTGTCCACTTTCATAAAGCATAGAACTGAGGTTACCTACTGTAACCCAGCTTCTATGAGTATTGGCGCAGCCCTCTAAGGCTATCGCTATTGGGTTTACCCTTCTGCGCCCCCGCGCAGTACTGAAAACGCTTGTAGTCCACGCCCACCCGCTAGGTGGGCCCCACCCTCGGGCCTCCTTCCGGTATAAATAGGGAGGTTGCCAGGCGATCTGCTCCCATACAATATAACTTTTCTTCAGCTATTCGTAGAGCCAGTGGGGCCCAGCGCTTAGAGGGCTGCGCCAATACTCATAGAAGCTGGGTTACAGTAGGTAACCTCAGTTCTATTTCGTATATGGCTTCGCTCTCTAAGGCTATCGCTATTGGGTTAAGGGCGAAGCATGATGTAGTCTGCGCCCCACTGGGTCCGTCCAGCACTAGAAGCACAGACATACCTGCTTAATAACACCCCCCTGCCTGTTGTGCCATGCGTAATGGCACATCCCCGTCCCTGGAGCAAACATACCTGTTTTCCTGACGGGGTGAAGGCTGGGAACAATACATACCGACCGCTGTGAGAAAGTAGAGACGAAGGTCCCACCTTGTCCTGCGATCATAGAGGGGGAACAGCCGCTCTCTCCGTGTCAGCCAGGTAGGAGAGCGCTCAGCTGGATCCCTGACGTCACTCACTCTGACCAGGCACTCCCTACGAAGTGTGTCAGAGGAAGGGGAACATCCCTCTCCTACGAGGGGAAAAAGGGCCGCTCTCTGTGTGCCGCGAGGCAGGAGAGAGGCGCACAGCTGGATCCCTGACGTCACTCACTCTGACAGGACACCCAGTACAGGGCGTGTCAGAGAGGAAAGGGAGACATCCCTCAAATAAAATTGAATAAATGAACAGGGGGAAGACCAAGATGAATCCGTGCAAATATCTTCCACTGACATTCCTCCGCGCAACACCGAGGAGGAGGAAATTCCTCTGGTTGAGTGCGCTTTGATATTCTCCGGGGGCTCCACCCCAGAGGAGACATATGCCTGTGACACAGCCTCACACAGCCAGTGTGACAGCCGTTGTGTAGACAGAGGTTGCCCGATCGAGCTCTCTCTGTAGTGCACAAACAGGCGCTGAGAACGGCGCAATGCCGCCGTGCGCGCCACATAGCAGGACAGCGCGCGCACCGGGCAGAGGAGATGAGATGTTTCTTCTTCCTCCGACCTGTAAGGAGGGGGGAAGAAGCCAGCCAGGGTGATCACTCTTGACCTAAAAGAGTTGTGATGACCTTATAGGCATGAAGCCGGGTTAGGGCGTAAAACAGCTGAACTGCATCTCCATGGATCCGGAGACATGACGGAGCCACCGGGAGAGCAGACATATCACCCTGTTCTCTGATAGAGCCAAAAGCAGTACTACTTTGGCTGAATACAGTTAAGGGGAACCTGATCAGGTTCAAATGGGGTTTTTCTTTAGTGCGCGTAACACCAAAGCCAAATCCCACTGAGGCGCCAGTGTGCGTGACACCGGTCTGAGTCTCCATACTCCTCGCATAGCACGGCTGCTGCGTTCTGCAAGCCCCTCGGT